CTTCCGATATATATATATATATATATATATATATGTATATACATACACGCACGCACACACACATATATAATATTTTAAAACATAAATAAAAATGTTTTTTTATCTATTATAATAAAAAGTTTTGTAAAAAAATATAGTTAGAGGATTTAAAATTATACTTTTAAATACGTTGATGAGTAGTGATTTAAAATAATTAATTAATGTAATATATTTAAGAAAAATAATTTGAGATTAATTTATAAATCATCAATCTAGCATATATTTTTCAATCTAAGAGTTTGTTCAATATTATATTATAACATTGTAAATTTTATAATTGTTTAGTTATTTTATTCATTAAATGATTGTATGTTTTATTGTTTAATTGTTGTAAAACTCTAAAGATTAAAGAATTTTTATAAGTTAAGTTGTTTTGAAGTTGTTTTGTGTTGTGTTCAAATTGACCAAGTATAGGAAAATGTATATAAAGTTTTCTTAAGATATGAATTTCATAAGTTCATTTTTTTTAAAAGTTAGAGAGAAAATTTTTGGAACCTTTCTTCCTTCAGACTTCATAGTTTAGCTCTAATTCCTCCTCGGAACAATTCTAATTAGAGAGCTGAATTCAAGTCTAAAGTTGAATTCAAGTCTCGGAGCTGAGAGTTATAAATTTGAATAACTTTAAAGATTTTATCGCATCTTATATTTATTTAATATATTTATTATATATATATATATATTTCTTTTCTTTTACTTCTACACAATTAAATAAGGTGAAAGAGAAATTTTATCATTTATTTTATTTTTCTCCTTTAAAATGTAATTTAAAAAATTATCTTGTTATTGCTATCTACTTTTTTTTTTTTTTTTTCATTTTCTAAACCAAATACTTTTCTTATATTTTTGGTAATTATGATACAAGTACAAAATATTCATCACTAAAAACAATAATTAATCTCTGTTGATAATTGTGAATATACACAAAGTAAAGGACACAAACATATATTATTTTTATTATGATATAATTATTTTTGTTAAAAATATCAACCGAGTATTTTGAATTTAACATATTAGTATTAAATATATATATATATTTTTTTTTTGAAGAGTGTGAAAAATCTTAAACATAGTATGTGTGGGTGAGATCTAGAGGAGGAGCATATAATATGTAATTATTGAATTTGTAATATAAATAAATAAACTTTATTGAATGTGCATTTGAGCTGTTCCACACGAGCAATGTTCCCCTACAAAACTTCGTCGTTGGCAGAGGGGTCAAGAATAATCAACATGCGGGGCTCGGCTCCAACACCTACGGTCTATATGCCGTCGTAATCAATAGACAACTATCACTCATGTTTTTCTTGCTCCTCATTCTAAGAAGGGGTGTCTTACACAAATTCATGCTTTCTCATGTATAGGTTTTCATTAGTTGATGACAGAGGCCAAAACAAGAAACAAAATGGTAAACTAATTGTTATTCTTGAATGAAATAATTTGGCACATAAACACTTTGATTAATAGGACAAAACGTTATTTGTAGTTTTGCACCACCACAAAATATACATTTTTTTCCCTTCCAAATCTATCTAGTTAAAGCCTATACTGCTAAATAAGTAGTAATTGTTAACTATCATTCTAACCAATGGTTACATGTTATAATTTCTTAGTTTAATAAAAAAAGAAAGTTACAAGTTAAAGAAAACTATTTGTAGCATTTTCAATCTGTCAAGTAGTGTTGGATTAATTTGGATTTTTGTTAAAAAAGGAAGTGTTTTCAACCGATTTCCGCCATGGAATTCCAACCTTATAAAAATGTGCTGCTATCTACTTCTACCCTCTTCAATTTTTATCTTCCTAATGATTAGGGGGAAAACACATGCATCGCTATTACATGTCTTGTTAGATCTTTTAATTTTGTTCGTTCAGCTAATTCCTTTAATTAACTTGTGAATTATTCTAACTTAACTCATTTTTAACATAAATAGTCATCCAATTAAATATTTTGCCTTTTGCCTACAATTAAGTTCGATATTTTATGTAGAAACTAATAAGAGAATTATATTCCAACACTTGGCAATGAATTTTAGTATATGACTCTCATGGTGTCTAAAAGGTATACGTCACGATCTTACACGTAGAGATATAAGTGGATACAGATAATTTATGAATTTGAACTGACTTAAATCAATCTAATAAGTTTGGATTGAATTTTTCAGTGTTCGGTCAGATTTAACCTAATCCAATCAAAAGTCGACACTATGCGAATCGAGTAATGGATTTTGTGTTTTCAACTCGTTATCTGACCCAATCTTATCATATTATTATTATTATTGTTGTTGTTGTTGTTGTGTTTAAATAATTATTTGTTCAGGACAATACTCACTGTCACTCTTACTTAATAACAAATTTTGTATTTTAGGTCGATAACGTTGTAATAATATAATACATTTATTTTAAATCTCATTTTATATTAATTAATAATATTTTTTGAATTAATAATAATGTAAAAAGTTAATAAATTTATTTTAGAATTTAGTTTGTATCATTGTTTGTCTTATAGGTTGATAACATTTTATATATAACAATGTATCAAATAATTTACATATATATATTTTAAAATATTTATTTTTTCACCAAAAATAGATAAATTTAATTATGTTAACACAATTAATTCAACTTAACTCATTCATCATTGGGTTAGATTGGATTGAATTTTAAAAAAAATTACATAAATCCGATCCAACCCAACTCATCAAATTTTGATGGCAGATGATAAATACACCTCCACTCTCGTATAAACACACCCCCTTTTTTAAAAAAAATATATAAAATATCTAAATTACCCTTTAAAAAAATGAAATTCCTAAATTTACACCTCCCTTCCCCGCACCCCCCTTCTCCGCACCTACACTCCACACCCCTCTTTTTTCCAAAGCCTCTTTTCGCTCAATGTCATTAAACAATATACTTTTACAGTCATTCTGAATAGAAAAAAAGGACTAGCCCCACCATAACCAGCATAAGAAAGGCTCTTTGCCGGTGAAGGATTTGACTCTGGTAAGTATCCTTTATACTAAAGCTTCTTTACAATGATTTTCTTTTATATAAGTGCTCGAGTTAGGATTGTTGACTCAGAATTTGAAGTATACAATCCATTCCTGGCCGATTTCTTTCTCAATACCGGGACATCACATGCGTACATAAGGTTCAACCATTGCGTAAAAAGTACATGCATGGAACATTATCCTGTATCTGCATGTAAACTTTAGTCTGGAACGGCACCAGAACGGGCCGTTCTGCAAGAAGAACGGCCCGTTCTACCTTATGACTGATTTTAAAACCCCTATTTTAAAAGTCATTTTTGTACTAGTGTTTCTTTCCATAGAACAAGTAAGAGTCTTTCTCGTACAAGACCTCCTGTTGACATTGCGCACCCCTCTTCCTTCTCTTTCTGGCACTCATCTTCTTCTTTTTTTTTTTCCCGCACCTCGCACACCCCTCTTCTTTCTCTCTCTGGCACTCCTCTTCTTCTTCTTCTTACTGTTACGGAATGTTCTTTCCAGAATTATATAAAAATGTTCCGGAAAATACTTTCCATAATATTAAATTCTTATTCCGGAAAGTATTTTCCGGAAATGTTTTGTTACATAATTCCGGAAAGTACTTTCCATAATATTAAAGTTACTATTACGGAAAGTTCTTTCCGGAATTATATGAACAATAATTTTACTATTCCGGAAGTACTTTCCAAAATGCTAATAACTGTAAAAATACTTTCCGGAATGCTGATGATTGTAAAAGAGTCTTTCTTATGCTGGTTATGGTGGGGTTACTCCTTTTTTTCTATTCAGAATGACTGTAAAAGTATATTGCTTAATGACATTGAGCAGATAGAGACTTTGGGAAAAAGAGGGGTGTGGAGTGTGAGGTGCGGGGAAGGGGGGTGCGGGAAAGGGAGATGTAAATTTAGGAATTTCATTTTTTTAAAAAAAGTAATTTAGATATTTTATATATTTTTTTTTAAAAAGGGGGTGTGTTTATACGAGAGGGGAGGTGTGTTTATCATAAGCCAATTTTGATTGCTAGATAATAAATCTATCTAAATCCAATTCAATCCAATCCACCAACACTCCTACTTATACAATAACTTTAAAATAAAATATCGAATTAAAACCTCTAAGAGCATTATTTATAAATAGACAAATGGTCAAAGACTGCTAGCTGTCCCCTCGCTCCTTCCTTATTTTGTATGACGTGTGCCCATTTTGTGGGGGTGAAACGTGTGCAAATTTTTCATTTCAAAATTTTGCGGAAAAAACAAGAAGGTAATCCCATAATTGATAGAGGCCCATAAATAAAAAGGACCACAAAAAAAAAAAAAGATCTTGGATCATTGGGTTTGATTTCAACTTAGAGGCTACAAAGGCGCTTTATGATCTTTTATATATTAACTCGATGATTGTAATAGTTGTGTCCTTTAGAATTAAAATTTCAGTAGTGCAGTGATATATATAAGTATTTTTGATTTCAGTAGACAGTAGTGAAGTATCTTGAATCTTGATCATGTAATAGTCGTGCAATATAATTCTTGAACGATGCATGGCAGCAAGAACAATTCCTTAGGCATGATTGAAAGGTGGAAAAGGTTGGGAATTGGCACGTGCGTAAGAAGTTGGATAGCACGCTTTACAAAGGTCATTGTACCTTTGAATATCAAGGTTGTACCTCTTCATGAGACGCTGTTGCTTGGTCTTGAACCTGGTATGGAAATAGCCCTGGAAGGTGGGTTCTGTTGAGGTTCTAAGGAAGAAAATGTACGCAAAACTGAAGTACAAAGAGGTCAAAAAAAAGCATATGGGCTCCATCACATCCCAGCTTAGCTCCCAGAAAGTAAGCCTCATGAGCCCAATTGTCTGAGCCGTCAAGAAGCCCAGCCCACAATAAAGCTCGCCGCGGACCTGGGCCTTTGCTTTTTCGTCAATCATGGCCTTTTGCCTCTCCATGTTCTCTAGCTCCTTTCTTCTCGGGTCCTCTGGATTGGCTATTGATTCCAATATCAAGCTCTCCAATGTTTTTGCCATCTGTAAAATGGAAAACAGATGATGATTTATTCATTCATTCATGGAATTTTATAAGATTCTGAAAATCACTCATAATTAAGCACTATTTAATACTTTTTATTGAATGTTTGTGCTATAAAAAATATTTTATTTAATATTTTTGAATAGTGTCTTTTTAACCCTTTGGCCATACCACCCTCACGAGCTTATACTAAACCAGGGTTGTTTTTTCTTTTAAAAAAAAATATTAAATTAAAAAATATATTTATTTATTGAGTTAATGATCTAATCATATTTTTTAATAATGTCATATTATTTATTTATTTAATTAAATAAAAATAAAATAAAATAATTTAAAAGATATGATTATTATACATGATTAACTCTACGTACCTGTTCTGGGCGAAGAAAAACGACGTTACCGAAGACGATGACGTTTCCAGAGTGATCCAATATCTTGGCAAACTCAGCAGCTTGACGTTGATTGTGGTGAGAAAATTGAAGGCAGATCCGAAAATAGTGAGCGTAAGAAATTGAGGTGTGTGGAATGTCTCTGAGCTTGGCTTTCAGCTTCTCCACCTGCGATGCCATGAGAATCTTCCTCGTATCCTTGGCACAAATTCCGTTGCCGCCTTTCACTTTCTCTCCACCCGGAAACGACACAATCTCCGACTGCGCGTAGTTGTATACGCCTCTGCCCTCGGCCTCGCGGCGGAGGCTGCTTTTGGAAGTGTTTGGCAGAGACCGCAACGTCGATTTGAAACCTTCCATCAGTCGTTTTGGGAATACTTTCCCAACTGCCATTCACCTGCCTCTTTCTTTCTTTCCTTCTCAATTTAATCACTTATGACAGAGGCTATAAACCCACTATATTTGCTCACTATATATATAACTCTCACAAACTAACACCAACTTCAAACAATATATTCTTACATTTCTGTACCCTCCAAATCCCCAATTGACCGAATTGACTGAGTAAAGACTCTTTGCACTTTTAACAATTAAGCATGGAGTGTCACATATCTTCCAACTCCCCATCCAACCGAACAAGTCGAATTCAAGATCATTCACGGATTTTCTAAGACTGACTAAGGCAGTAATTTTCATGATTCTCGCACATATTTGATTACGGTTATAAATGTAATTTATAGGCTCATTATGAGAAATAAAATGAAGGCTTATTTCAAGGGATTGGGATTGGAGAAAAAGATTCGTATCCTTAAATATGACACCCATATATATAAAGGAAGAATGGTTTTACTAAAAGGAGGTTACACTCATCAAATGTTCTAGGTTAGGACGACGGGTAAATTTTCTTAGAGTTCATATCACTAGGGTTTTTCCGACCGTTATCCTTTGACCGGAACAATTTCTAACTTCTTTCTTGCATTTGCTTCGCTCTAAAATCTAAATAAATAAATAAGGAGTCATCATTTTTTTCAATAATCTAAAATTTGTTCCGCTTACATTTTTCTTAAGTGGTATTGTGTTAAACGGGTAAGAAATTTATAATCTCATTAAAAAGTTTATGATTAACTATTCATAATCTTAAGAATAGTACTTGACTTTGTTTTTATATAAAATTTAGTCTATTTTAATTTAAAGTTCTTGTTAAAAAAAATATATATTCAGGGGCTCTGGCTTACAAAAGTTTTTAGTTTATTAAATAATTGATTAAAAATAATATTAAAAAAATTACTAGTATTTTACTCGTGATATTCTCTTGAAAAAATACTTCGACTTAATTGTATAATAATGCTTGAAAGGCATTTGTAAACTAATTAGAAAGCGAACTCGTTAATTAGTTTATTTTTTTTAGGTAATTGCCCACAAAATAAATTGATTATTAACTAATTTGCCACCTTTTTTATTTGAAAATTGGGCACAAAGATGATTTGTTCCTTTGAATCGTTTTGAGTCTGCATGGAGCTGGCTGCTGCATCTCATTGGAATCTTTATTTCTTCAAAGCTTCAAGAGTAGTTTATCGTATTTGTCCTTTGGACAATTCTTGAAGACGTATAATTAGATATTAAACAAGACAAAAAGTTGAGTCTCTGAATGAAGTCTGAACCAGATTCAAAAATTAAATTGAATGTAGACGCTGATTTAATGCATTTAGGAATTTTAAATATGAATAAATAATAACAAAACAGGATTTTAAGATGATAAATGCACTGAATTGAGTCTTGTACTTATTCCGAAATGTTTCTTCGTTGCTTGCACGTTATCGTGGAAGACACAAGGAAATCCTAGCTGTCTTCTCATTATTACCTGGAAATATTTACGTATTTAATATACAAAACAGTATTTTGAGTCTGTAACAAAAACAAAAAATGAGCTGTAACAAAATAAACCAGTAATAAGGAGTTTATTCATTTAAGTAAGGTACTGCATTTAAATTTCATAGACGATATTATTAAGTCATTTAATAATTTTATATTTGATGTGTTGTCAAGTATATTAAATAGTAATGTATTTTTTTGTATTAATAATATATTATAACCAAATAATAATTAGGTTAAAATGTAATTACCCTAATTATTGATTTAGACTTAATAAGATCTAACGATAATGATAGAGAAACACTCGAGTGTTATTTTAATGATCGGTTAAAGTTTAATTAGGTTGAAGTAATACCTTAGTATTTGACTAAGATCTAATATTGCAATGGTGATAGACTAATGCCTAATTAGGTCAAATTATGATTGTTCTAAAATTAAATAGGCTAAAGCATTATATTGATAGTTGACCAAGATTCAATGAGACTCAAAACGTACATATTGATAATTGATTAATGCACAAATAAGTTAAAGTGTTACATCACTAAATAACTAAAATTTATCTAAACACAAGAATAACATTAATGATTAATCAATGTCTAATTAGATTGAAATAAAACCTTGATGATTATCTAACACACAATAAATTCCAATTATAACACCGATAATTGAACAAGTATAATAAAATAATTGACTAAAACATAATAAATCATAAGTGTATATTGGCAAGACACTATTAATATAATATCTTACACCGATGATCAATGAAAGTTAAATTAAACCTACACATAACACTGATAATTAGCCAAGATCAAATAAGGGTGAAGTGTGACATTAATGAAAAATTTGTTTTTTCATAAGTGAGATACCCATTCTCAAGCAATAATGATGGGTGCAATATTTTTTTTTAACAGAAAAAGAATTTCGTTGAAAAAAAAGTTACAGGGTACAAAGGAGTGCAATATATAATAAATTGGGTGCATGAAATAATTGTCCATTAATATTGACTATCATCCAATAAAACCCAAACGTAAAATTGATAATTAGCCAAGACTCAGTAAAGTTGAAATATAACTTAAATGATTGATCAAGCTAATTATGTCCTAAGCGCAACAATGATAATTGATCAAAGTCAAGTTTTATAGGGTGACATTGATGATCGACGAAGACCCAAAGCGGATTTAATAAAATTTAAATGTGTAAAATCATTGCAATTTGTAATAATTAGTCAAAGTCTAAAGTGCATCCAGTGCCGGTGGAATTAACTTTTTCAAAGAGAATATGCGAATGTAGTAGCAGATAAATTAATAAAATTAGCCTTCTCTTTTTTTGGTGAAAGGTACTGAACTAAAGATGGGCCTTCACATTTCACAAAAAAAAGAAAATACCTTCACAAGTTCTTCCTCTCATCCAACATGATACATTAAGGTGAGAATAGGTCAATGTTGATTTTTCAAAAATTAAAATTAAAATTATAAAAAATATACTAGATTTAATAGGTCAACCTATTTATATATATAATATAATATAAAATTAATATATATATATATATATCAATAATATAAATAAATAAATAAATTTATAAAATAAAATAAAAATTATTAATATTTTTAATATTTATCATTCCACTTAAATATTTACGTATCCTGTTCATACAAAATTTAAAAATTACAAATAAAAATTCTAACAGCCGTATTTATTGTATATAATTAAAATGATTCTTACTATTATTTCTTTATCGTATTGTATATGTATATCTGTGAGATCACCTCATGTAGAATGAATATATTTTTAGTTTGTTACTATAACTATTTTATTTTATTAAAATATGAGTTAATTATTTTGAATAGGCTAAATGAGATACAAAAAATATTTTAAAATTTTTTTTATAATAATAAAATTACCATTTTCATTAAATATTTACAACCTATACATCAATTTACGTCTATATATAAATGTGTACGAATTGTCTCTCTAACAAAAAATATTCATTTTTCTTTCGTTGTGACATTGTATATATTTCTTTTAAAATTTAAATTTTAATAATATAGAATAAATTATTTTTTTATCACGTAAATTAAAAAAAAACTCAAAACGACATTTAAAAACAGATTTTTTGTTTTTAAAAAATATACTTATTGACCTAATTAATATCATTAATATAATATAAAATTTTAATTAGATTAATAAATCAAACCAAATTTTTAAAAAGGTCGATATTTATAATAAAAAAAAAGTTATAATAAATAATAAATTAAATTTACTTTTAATTTTATAAAATGAACTTAATTTATATATTTAAAATTTGAACTAATTTAACCTATTTACCCCCTAATAATACATGAAGGGTACTGAACTAAAGATGTATCTTCACACCTTCTACCTCTCATCCAACATGATACACATATAATGAATTTAATTGCTAATTCTCAGGCTGAATAAAAGAAAATCGATCTCAACAAAGTCTAAAGTGTGTAAATGGACCCATAAATACTAGGTTCTCTGCAAAAATGTCTTGAGTTACGTAACACGATGAAAGTATATATAGACAGAAATCAATTCGTCAAAAAAAAAAAAACAAGATACATATATAAGTGAGAATTGTATATTAAAAAGCATATTGAGAGTATTTTAATAATAATTGATGCTGCACCTTTTTTTATTGTAATAAAAGTACTTTATTATTAGTTTATAAATTAATATTCTTAGAATTTTAGTTAGCATTTTTCAAACAAAAAAGTAAGAAGTATTAAAGGATAGGATGAGACAAAAAAGATTGAAGTGCATAAGTGGGAATCAAGTAGGGCGTTGGATTCCATTTTCTGGTAGTGGAAATCTACTACCCGCATTTTTTGTCCCATGCCTAAAGCTAAAGCATGCTTATTGAACACTCCATCACATCTTTATGGTTCTATTTCTATAGGAACCATAGTGTAAAGGAACCAAAAAAAATATGGGAATAGAAAAAAGTGTGACACAACATTATTATACATTTATTATCCTAATAAGTCTCGGTCTAGTTAGTAAAGAATGACTCATATCTTAAAAATATAAGTTTGATTTATGTTAAAATTTATTAGTCATTAATCTATAAATAAATATGATAATGTATGTTAAATTTAGTGAGTGTTTATTTTTTGTGGTTAAGTTACACAAATAAATTTATCATTTCACTGAATCAATTTGTATCAAATTTTTGTTTTATAATTTAACTTCTCTTTTTAAGTAATTATTTTTATTTTATATAAAACAAAAATATATTAGTTTAATCATATATTTTTTATCCGTAGATTTTTTTTTGTATAGTGTCTTTTTTAATAGAAATATATTATATTTTGTTTCTTTGCATGAAAAAATATATCACCTACCAATTTTATAAATAATAATAAAATTATAGGTTGAAGTAATAATGTGTATTAAAATAATTTGATTTAGATTTTTTTTTTATAAAAGAATTAGATGAATTGAAATTGGATTAACTTGTCAACTCATCATTTTTATCCCACCAACTTGCTAAAATAAGTCAACTTGTAACTTATCTCTGAATAAGATGAGTTACATTTTTAAATTGTTTTCTTTGGTAATATC